TAAATGTTTCTACAAATGTATCCACTTCTTCTAGGTTGTCCAATTGTTTGGTATATAATTGTTCATAGATTACCTTCTGATTCTTTGTAGTTCTGTGGTATCAATTGAGATCTGCTTTATATATTTAGGTGCTTCTATGTTGGGTGCATAAACATTTACAAATGTTATATTCTCTTATTGTATTGACCCCTATATCATTATATGACCTTCTTTGTTTCTTATTACATTCTGTCTTGAAGTCTATTTTGGCTGATATAAGTATAACTAACTACCTTAGCTTTCTTTTGGTTTCCATTTGCATGTATTATCTTTTTCTATCCTGTTACTTTCCGTCTCTGTGCATCCTTAAAGCTGAAGAGAGTCTCTTGCTTTAGCTTTAACAATCATCTATTTGATGATGATTCACAAATATCTATTTAAGATATACCTCTTTCCCATAGAAAGCTTAAACTCAAAAATGACCAAAAATGAACTCAATTTGCCCTAGAAACTTGCCTTTTCTCTTATATTTCCTATTTCAATCAATGTACCAACATCCTCCCAGTTTTTAATTTGATGCTTTCCTCTTCTTCATACCCAGTGTCTCCCATCCCATTTGACCCCCAATATTAAATTATGACATTCCATCTTTCCCTTTAATTCTCTTGAATATATCTTCTCTGTGTGCTCATAATTGCCACCTTTGTTCACCAACATTAACTATTTCTTCCTAATTGGTCTCCCATTTCCAATATTTTTCCTTCCTAAAAAAAATCATCTGTATCATAACTGGAATGGCTTTCTAAATTTAAAAGATGTCATTGTCATTTTCTTCTATGTACTGTTTCAATGTGTATTGCCCTTGGGAAAAAATCCAAATTCACCCATCTGTTTTTACAATATGTACCAGTCACATTAAACATTTTGTGATCCAGGATGATGCCATATTTCTGTCACCTATAGGTCTTTGTACCCCCAATCCTTTTGCCAAAAAATGCCTTTTCCAAACCCATCTTTATTGCTAACTTCTATTCGTTTTTTAGATGTCAAGTTAAGATATCACTGCCAGAGAAGTCTTGAAATCTTTTAGACCTGTGATATTCAATATGATAGCCACCACTAAAACACAGCTATTGAGCACTTAAAATGTGGCTAATCTGAATTGAGATGTACTCTACACCACACTTTAAAACTTAGTATTTTAAAATGTAAAATTATCTTATGTACTGGTTACATGTGAAATACTATTTTGGATGTACTGGATTAAAGAAAATATATTATTGAAATTAATTTTATGGTGGTTTTTAATGTGATTACAATAAATCTCAAAATTACACGTGGCTTGAATTATATTTCAGTTGGACAACACCTAGATTAGATGAGAAGGAGCCCCCTTTTTTCAGTATCCTATAGTTATTTCATTAGTAGCATTTATTATATCAGGTAAAAATTCTAGATTGTATTCTGCACTAGACTGCAGGGATCTAATAAACAAGAGGCTGTCTTATACTAATAAACAAGAGGCTACCTTAGTAAATATGGCCATTTCAATACTAAGAGTGTTAAAATACAGTCAATCCTCATCCTGGCTCAGTTGGATAGAGCCGTGGTCGGCAAACTGCAGCTTGCAAGCCACATGCGGCTCTTTGGCCCCTTGAGTGTGGCTCTTCCTAAGCCTTAGGAGTACCCTAATTAAGTTAATAACAATGTACCTACCTATATAGTTTAAGTTTAAAAAATTTGGCTCTCAAAAGAAATTTCAATCGTTGTACTGTTGATATTTGGCTCTGTTGACTAATGAGTTTGCCGACCACTGGAGAGCATCATACAGTACACCAAAAAGGATTGCAGGTTTGACTCCTGGTCACAGCACAGGCCTGGGTTACTTCGATCCCCTGTTGGGAAGCACATACAGCAGGCAATCGATCAATGTTTGTCTCTCTTTCTCTCCCTTCCTCTCTCTCTAAAATCAATAAACATGTCCTCAGTGAGGATTTTTTTTTAAAAAAAGGTTAATCCTCATTATTTATTCATTGATTCCGTATTTGTGAATTTCCCTACTTGCTAAATTTATTTGCAACCTCAAAATCAATACCCTAGCTGCTCTGGCCGTCATTCATGGTCATGCACAGAGCAGTGAAAGGTTTGTATCATACAACACACGTTTTCCTGGCTGAGGTCAAACAAGGCGATGCTCTGCTTTCCTGTTTCAGTTGTCAAACAGTAAAGTATTTTTCAGTCTTTCAGTGCCACTTTTTCATATTTTCTCTTACTTTTGTTGGTGACTTGGCTGTTTAAAATGGCTCCCATGGCCTGGCTGTCATGGCTCAGTGGTTGAGCATCACCCCATGAACCAGGAGGTCACCGTTTGATTCCGGGTCAAGGCACATGCCTGGGTTGCGGGCTTGATCCCCAGTGTTGGGGGTGCAGGAGGCAGCTGATCAATGATTCTCCCCATCATTGATGTTTCTCTCTCACTCCTTCCCCTTTCCTCTCTGAAATCAATAAAAATATTTTTTTAAAAATATAAATAAATAAATAAATAAAATGGCCCCCATAGTGCTGTAGTGTTGTCCAGTGTTTATAAGCACAAGACGGCTGTGATGTGCCTTACAGAGAAAATGCATATATTAGATAAGCCTCCTTTGGGCAGGAATTACAGTGCTGTTGGCTATGAGTTAAATGTTAATGAATTAATATATATTAAGTAAAGTTTTGAGACAGAAACACACATAAAACAAGATTATATATTGGTCAGTTGATGAAAATGTTACCAGAGGCTCACAGAACCTAAATCTATTTTTCCCCAAGGAGCAATGGTTCAGTATTTATTGATTTAGCGTTCCAGTGACTTCACTAAAATTGACTATATTGCCGGATCATTTGATTCCATATCCAAATCTTACATGAATGTAGTATATGATGGTAGTTAAAGCAGTGATTGCAGAGCCAAAGTGCCAATCTTGGCCTTCTGACTTGCTAGCTGTGTGATTTGGAGAAATTAGCTTTTCTCTGCTATTTTCCACAACTAAAAATGTAGATCAAAGAATAGTTGTGAATGATTACCAGGGGCTGGGTTTGGGGGAGGGGACTGACCAAAAAAGGCAGGAGGAAACTTTCAGAATGAGGCAAATATTCTGTATCTTGATTATAGCAGTAATAACGCCTATGTTCTTTGTTGTTGTTGTTTTTGTTTTTGGGTTTTTTTGTTGTTGTTTTTTAGGTCCCCATTGCCCTGGAAAGCCAGAAGCCATGCTCTACGGGCACCAGGGACACAGTGGGGGAGATGGCCCTTAGAGCCATCTGCGGAGTCCAGCCGCCCATGGTGTAAACAGGGACCGACAAGTGGAGACTGTGAAGGTTAATTTAGTGGGGTCCCGCCCAAGGAGGTGCAGGTCCTCATTGGGGAAGGGTGGCTCAAACCAAAAGGGGTTCCCATTTGAAGCCATTGGAGCATCCATTCAAAGAGGGCAACAGAGGTAGCAAGGGCAGCAAGCGAGCCTCTAACCAAATATCCTATTGGGGACACAGGCCGGGAGTGGGTCAAGTGTTGTGGGTCAAAGTGGGCTGCTTATGGAGAGAGCTCCCAGAGGAAGTACGCCTATGTTCTTTGAAGAACTCCTATGTTCTTCAACACTGATAACTAAAAAAGGTACATTTTACTTTCTATAAATTTTAACTTAATAAATCTGAGGCTTAAAACAGTAACAATCAAGGTCAAGATTAAAGGAATGCTACACATAAAACATGTCTCTCCTGCTTACATACTCTTTAAACATTAGCAATCGCTCTAGTAACAATAGACAAGAAGGGGTTAGGTGGTGTCAGGAAGAGCAGAATAGGCGCACGAACCAGGGTTCTAATCTGGCTCTTTTCTATGTTAGCTAGAGGCTGAGCTGTGTACGGGAGTTCACTTGCTTACTGTAAAGGTGAAGTTAGACAGTATGTGTGAAATATCTGTGAAAACTGTAGAGCCACAAAGGAATGTGAGAAATGGGACAGTTCATAAGAGCAATGCAGTATATCAGAGGGCTCCATAACCCGGGGTGTGGAGGTCACTTTCCAGGGTAAGAACACGTGGTGCGTTGTGAAAAGGGGAGCACATCTCTCTTAACAGCGTTGGTCCTCAAGCCTACATAGGTCTCTGTTGGCTCCAGGTCGATTGTGAAGACAACCCAACTGCCCTAAAGCGGTGTGGCCACGCCGCCCGATGGAATGCCGACCCTGGAACCAAGAAGAGATGCGTTTGGCAGAACCCCTTTCTGGACTGGACAACGTGGTAGGAGTCAGGCAGCATCCGTTTCTACAACTTCCTAGCATCCTCTGGAGGAAGGAGGGAGGGAGGTCATTGCACCGCCGCCTTTCACTTCAAGGGCGTCTTACTCTTACGGGTTCCCACCCCTGAGTGCGCGGCTGACTCCAGCGGGGCACCCAGAGGCAGTCGCTGCCACAAACTCATCGGGGAGGCCGGGGTCCCAGGAGGAGCGCACAGGGCTGAGCCGGGTAATAAAATACTGCGTTTCGGCTCTTCTTCGAGGAACAGCCTGGGCCTGACCTCCAAGGAGGGCCAAAGCTTGAACCCACAACCCCGTGGGACCCCCGCTGAATTTGCTCGCCTCTAGAGGGCGGACAGCCGTCACGTGACAGCAGACACGCCCCGGAGGGCTGGGTCCACCCGGCACGTGGTTTGGTTCCCGTTCACTTCGACTGAAACCCCAACACGACGAACCTAAAAGTTTGCGGGAGCGCGTTTCCTTGCCGGCGAGTGGACTCTCAGCAAAACCTCCAGAAAGCGCTCCTCACGCCGGAAGTGCACTAAGCCGCAGCACGTGGGGTTGCCAGGGCGCTCTTCACGTGACTGGGCGGGGCCTTGGGAACCTGGTAGCCAATGGCAGCCCGAGGGGGCCGTGCCTGTGACGCGCCGGACCTATCCCGGAAGTGGGGCTGAGGTGGGGGCGGGAGAGGGCGGGAGGCCGGGGTGTGGAAAGTGTGGCGGCCCCGCCCCGTGTCTTGGAATTGCCGCGGCCGCCACCGCTGCCTCCGCTGCAGCCGGAGGGGTCCCGCGCCGGTGCGCAGAGGGAAGGCGCTCTTTCTTCGCTGAAAGGTGAAAACAGAGGGGAAAACTGGGGGGGCTGGGCCCGGAGCAAGGCAGGTCAGGGGGAGGCGGCCGGAGCCGAGTCCTCACGAGCGGAGGAGGAAGGATAGATGGGGGAACCGAGGCGAGCGCGGGACCCGCCTGAGCGAAGGCCCGTGTGCGGCCGGGCCGGACTGGGGATGCCCCCCGGACCAGGGGGCGCCTGAGAGGCGGGGGCTACCGCGCCGGGGTCCGGGGCGGAGTGCACGCCCGAGGCTCCCGGGTTGGACGCTGCTTGTCCCCATTCTTGGCGGGGGCGTGCGGCCTGGGCTGGGTCCCCGCAGCGGAGATGGGGCGGCGGCGGCGGAGTAGGAGGAGGAGGGCCGGGTGGTGCGGCGTCGCGCGGTGCGGGAAGGTCGCCGGGTTCTCCCGCGGTGGGACGGCCGGGCTGGGCTGGGCTGGGGTGCGCCCCGCGCGGGTGAGCGCCCGGGGGGCCATTCCCCACCCCGGCGAGCTCCTCTGCGACTTGCCACCCACCTCCCGACTGATGATGGAAAAGTTTGTAGAGGCCGGAGTTAGAGTGTCCACGGTTCTCGGGTGGGCATTCCGCTCATGCAAACAATGATGCATCTTCGAGGCTCGGCGGGGAACCGGTCCGAACGGAGATGTTTCCTTCCCTGTGTGCTCGCTGTTTAAAAAGCAAACACAAACTTTTTGCGCAGCTCCTTGGAGAAGCCGCCGCCTCCCCAGCCCACCCATGGCGGATGAGATTGATTTCACTACCGGCGATGCCGGGGCTTCCAGCACGTACCCGATGCAGTGCTCGGCCCTGCGCAAGAACGGCTTCGTGGTGCTCAAGGGACGACCATGCAAAATAGTCGAGATGTCGACTTCCAAAACGGGGAAGCACGGCCATGCCAAGGTGGGTGCCCTTCCACGTCTGTTTTTGCGTTGAGGTTTGTTTTTTTATCATCGATTACATTACAGCACATGAGGCTTCTATACTTACAACTTTGTAATAAGCACTTTTTTTTCCCTTCCCACAATTACTGGGAGATCTGCTATTACTTTGAATACTGAAAAGTAGCATTTCCTTCTTGGGCCCTTATAACGTTTCATTAATTGGGAATTGAAACTTTCCTAGCGACTTAGATCTTCTTTTTTTTTTTTTTTTTAAGGTCTAGGAGTGTCTAAGACGTTTGGGACACTTCTTTTTTGATTTTTTACAGAGAGGAAGGGAGAGGGATAGAGAGCTGGAAACATCAATAAGAGAGAAACATCGATCAGCTGCCTCCTGCACATCCCCCACTGGGGATGTGCCCGCAACCAAGGTACATGCCCTTGACCGGAATCGAACCTGGGACCCTTCAGTCTGCAGGCTGACGCTCTGAGCCAAACCGGTCAGGGCTAGATCTTCTAAGTCTTAGAAGATCTGTTCCGTTGACAAATGAGAAAACCTGTTCCAACCTAATTCTTAAAACCTGACTTCATATGCCCTCTATTAGTTTAATGACGGGACTGCACATGATTTGGGGCTTGATAGATCATGATACCGTTTAGTTGCTCACTGCTTCTCAATTTTATGTCTACTATCTTTCTTTAAAGACAGTGAAATTAGATGACCTTGGAAGGAGAAAGAATCTGTCATAATCAGCGTTTGATATTGGGCTCTTGTGTATGTAATGAGTGATATACTTGGCAAAGTTTAAACAGGTTTTCTGTTCTCCCTTCTCTGTCAGGTTCACCTTGTTGGAATTGATATTTTCACGGGCAAAAAATATGAAGATATTTGCCCTTCTACTCACAATATGGATGTTCCAAATATTAAGAGAAATGACTATCAAGTAAGTCCTAATTTCCTTTAGAATGCTGCCTGTTTCTTACAGGTGTAAATACCAATTGTAATTTATCAAAAACCAGGAATAGTTTTGGAGGTTTTTCTAACGAATTATTAGGCACCATTTATATTAGAAATTGGAGAGATCGTGCCATTTAACAGTTATACCTTATCTAGAATTATTGCTAGTTTGCTATTTTAACATTCTTGCATTTTCAAAAATTTGAAAATTTCTTGCTTCTCAGTCCAGGTGATTGTATATTGTGACTGAGTAGGTTTAATTTTTAGTAAAGTTACTGTTCTATTTGTAAAATATTTCAAATTTATGTAACTCCCTCCCAGATGTCTTATTTCTTTTCACTGATCAGACCTAAGATTTTTCAAGAAATTATTGGAATTCATGTTTCACCAACCAACTTTGTGTATTAATGAAATGTGAGTCAGAATTTGGTATTCTTTTTTTTTTTTTTTTTAATATTTTATTGATTTTTTACAGAGAAGAAGGGAGAGGGATAGAGAGTTAGAAACATCGATGAGAGAGATCGATCAGCTGCCTCCTGCACGCCCCCCCAGTGGGGATGTGCCCGCAACCAAGATACATGCCCCTGACCGGAATCGAACCCGGGACTCTTCAGTCCGCAGGCCGACGCTCTATCCACTGAGCTAAACCGGTTCGGCTGAATTTGGTATTCTTAAATAGGGAAATAAGTTGACATCCTTAAATATAAAGGATAAAATACATAATCACTGAGTATGGTGAAGAAAATACAAAAATAATAGCTGTTTTATTTATATTCAGTGACCATGCTGTGACCTTTTGTTAAATTACAGGTATAAACTTCAAGTTTTAGTTCCAATTATACATTTGGATAGGTCAAGTTTAATGATAGCATTTGTTGTTTGGAGTATTGCTAGTAACCAAACCACTGACCTCATAGGATGTGGAAGCTCAGATTAATCATAACTAAAGTCTTTCTTGGAAGTCTTCAATTTCTGTTATCAAGCATACCATATATAGAACTCTTTTCTGTTCATTTTACATAGTGAGGAATAAAAGTTCACACTGTGACACTTAGATTTGTTTTATCCAGTTTAAACTGCTTTCTTTCTATACCTTTTATTGTATTGCATGATTTTTGTTGTTGTGAGGATATTTTTCCATTGATATTTAAAGAGAGTGGAAGGGAGGAGGAGAGACACAGAAAGAAACATCAATGTGAGAGAGAGACATCGATTGGTTGCCTCCAGCAGGCACCTCAGCCAGGTCTGGGATTGAGCCTGCAACCAAGGTATGTGCCCTTGACTAGAATTGAACTCGAGACCCTTTAGTTCTTGAGCTGATGCTCTATCCACTGAGCCAAACTGGCTAGGGCATTGTATTGTATAATTTTTAAAGAATGTTACCATCAACTGCAATTATCCAATGATTTCCTTTTACTCTTTGTCCACATGTCAACATATTTTTACATGGTTTGAATTTAGTAAGCAGTTTTATATTTCCTTTTCCCACTTATCTATAGGTAGCTTCAGATGCTTTGTAGAATTTTGAATTGTCTTAGTATAATAATAGTAAATGTTTTTTGATGTCGTTTCTTTATTTTTTAGTCAGGTAGGTCTGGATTGGGATCCAGTACTGCTTTCCAACTGAATGACCTTGGATAAATTATTAAACCTCTCTGAGCCTTAGTCTTCCCATCTACAGGAGAGGGATAATGTGAAGGTTAAATTAGAAATTGTATTCCATGATTACCTCCCAAGAGATAAACACCCAAAAGTAGTTCTTTTCTGCTCTCCCTTTTCCTATATAAAAATTTCATGTAACCATTCCATTATTCTTAAAGCACCTAATTTAGACATATGTAATAGGTGCTCAATAAACGTTTGTTAAATGCATATCTAATTATTCATTGAGATGAGGATAGTGCCAACTAAGGCTAAGCTTAGGATTTTGCCAACAGTGGATTTCAGTTTGTATCTTTAACCTGTGAGTGCTTAGGTTATTTGATATTCATTATATTCATTACTATGCATTCAACATAGAAGGTTTTTGCCTTTGAGTAGTTCAGAAAGATGGCATCAGTAGTTCAGATAATTGCTACTGTGATGAAAAGAACCAGTCATTGATTGGAACTCAAGATTTAACATCAAGGAAAAATTTGGTGTGTTTCTTATTTTGGGCTATAGCAGGAGCCACACTAGGATGAGGGGAATGAGGTGAGTGAGTCCCTTCCCTAGAGCACAAAATTTAAATAAAGATAGGACAAGCAACAATGTCAAGCCACACTGGAGCCTAAGGCAAAAGGTAAAATCACTAATTCTGATTTTTTTTTAAATTTTGATATTTTGTTCATCATGGAATTTTTGCATTAATTCTAATTTATAAAAACACCGCATTGCCCAACCGGCATGGCTCAGTGGTTGAGCGTCGATCACGGTTCGATTCCTGGTCAGGGCACATGCCAGGTTGCAGGCTGGATCCCCATTGTGGGGTATGCAGGAGGCAGTCGATCAACGATACTCTCATCATTGGGGTATCTATCTCTCTTCCTCTCCCTTCCTCTCTGAAATCAATAAAAATATATTTTAAAAAACACCACATTAGCCCAGCCAGCGTAGCTCAGTGGTTGAGCATTGACCTATGAACCAGGAGGTTACGGTTCAATTCCCAGTCAAGGCACGTGGCCTGGTTGCACGCTTGACCCTACTGGAGGTCATGCAGGGGGCAGCCAATCAATGTTTCTCTTTCCTCATTGATATTTCTATCTCTATCTCTCCCTTCCTCTCCGAAATCAATAACAATATATTTAAAAGACAAACCAAAAAGCCACCACATTAAAATATTTATCTGATCACTGATGTTTCTTTTTGGCACCACCTTAAATTTTGCACCCAAGACAAGTGCCTCACTTGCCTCACTCTAGTCCTGGCCTTTGGTATGTAGCTTGGATGAGAGAATGACTCAAGCCAGACAAATCCTTGCCTTGGCACTTCCTGTGTGACATGGGCTAAGAATAATGAACTCCTCGTGGGATTGCTGTGAAGTTTAATTAGTCAATACTTAGGATAGTGCCTTGCAGAATACGTACTCAGTGATCACATCTTTATCAAATCACCGTAGAATATTTCTTTTCATTTAAAAAAAATTAACTCTGTAAGCCTTTCCAGTTATAGTTTTTGTACTATCCAAGTGCCTTGATTAAATGTCTACTTTTATTATTTGGCTACATGTAGTCCTTTATATTTGCTTTATTTGGTATTTCAAGTGGAATTTGGCAGTCAGCTAAAGTGAATATATATGTGTGTGTATATATATTCATTATAATAATTAAAAAGTAAACCTTTGTTTAGGAAAAGAAATGTATGAATATTTACAATTTTAACTTTATATATTTTAAAATAAGTTCAGAATGAAAGAATAATTGTTTCCTGAATTTTCTGTCATTTCTTTTTTTTTAGCCATAGCACTCTATAAAGAGAAACTTCCCTTCATCAATTTTTGTTGTTTGTTTACCCTATGGTACAGTATATAATAGGAAAGGCAGTATAAATGCTTGGCTCTTTTCCTTTAATTACCGGTTTTCAAAATGAGTTGGTTCCGTAGTATTCACTGAATATGCTCAATCAAATGTGTTTTTCACTATGAGCTTTAAACATACAGTTGGGCCTTGACTTAGAGTGTCCCGACTAACGAGTTTTTTGAGATACCAGCTGTCTCTCGGCCAATTTTTTGCATTGAGTTGACAGAGTAATTTGAGTTAACCAATTTTTTACATTGAGTTGACAGAGTAATTTGAGTTAACGAGCTCCTTAACGAGCTCCTTAGGAGCTCGGTCTCGGAAGGAATTAAACTCGTAGGTCAAGGCCCCACTGTATTTGTATTTCAATTCATTGTAGTTATTATCCTTATCAGTTCTCAGACTATCCTATCTTTGGCCAGGGGGCTCTTATTCATGTAAGCTTCTGAGAGTCCCTTTGATATGGGCCTAGTGGTCAAGTTTTCTGACCCTGTTCTCTCCCATCTGCCTGCTTACTAATAACAAATAATTATATGCTCTTTCTACCCCCTCCAAAAAATTGTTCAAAACATTTTATATTTATCACTGAGTAGATTTGTTTAAAGACGAAAGATCAGAAGGAAATATTTAGAATTGACTTATAACTGCCCTCCTCACTATCCTTCCTTCTAACTCTATAGTATCAGAGAGGACTTTGAGAGAAGATGGGGGAAAATTGCACAAAAATATGCTTAAAACTCAACATGACACCCTTATCTTTTTGTTGTTGTTATTGCAATTTTTTTTTTTTTTTAAAAAAGGAAAAATTCTATCTTTAGAGTGGAAATATCTGGTGGCTACTCCTTTAGCCAAGTGATCAAAGTTAATCTCACAAGTAATAGCACAAATTGAAATCATCTGCCTTATGATGTGATCTTCTGAGGACACATCACTCATGTAGTATTTATTCCTTCCAAAAATGCATTACCTGAATCATGAGGAAACAAACCCAAAATAAGGAACATTCTATAATACAGTGAATCTGTGCTCTCCAAAAACATCAGTGTCAGAAAGAGTATGTCCTTGTTCTTAGGAGAAATACAGTGAAGTATTTATTGCTCAAGAGTCCTGTGTGAAACATATTTTTAAATGGTTCAGTAAAAGTAAGAAAAGAATAGGAACGTATGCTATTTATTTTATATACTCTATATATATACAGAGAAAAATGAATGCATGGTTAAATGTTAACAATGGATGAATTTAGGTAAAAGATAATGCAATTTTCTAACTTTTCTGTATATCTAAAAAAATTTTAGTCCAGCTGGTGTGGCTCAGTGGTTGAGCATTGACCTATGAACCTATGATGGCTCGATTCCTGGTTAGAGCACACCCAGATTGTGGGCTCGATCCCCAGTGGGGGGCGTGCAGGAGGCACCTGATCAATGATTCTCTCTCATCATTGATGTTTCTATCTCTCCCTCTTCTTTCCTTTCTGAAATCAATAAAAATATATTTTTAAAAAATTAAATAACTTATATAAGAAAGATAAAATAATTCATTTTCATTATTTAATTTTATTTTTTCTATAGCTGTTTTCTTAAAGTTTTAATTACATTTCATAAAGCAGTTTATTTTAATAAGATATTTAATATAGCCCTGACCGGCTTGGCTCAGTGGATAGAGCGTCGGGCTGCGGACTGAAGGGTCCCAGGTTCGATTCCGGTCAAGGGCATGTACCTTAGTTGCGGGCACATCCCCAGTGGGGGGCGTGCAGGAGGTAGCTGATCGATGTTTCTCTCTCATCGATGTTTCCAACTCTCTATTCCTCTCTGTAAAAAATCAATAAAATATATTTTAAAAAGATATTTAATATATAAATACATTTTTACATTTCGTTTTGTGTTTATACATTTTTATATTTGAAATGCTTTATTTTTCATCCTAGTATTTTATGAATTCTTGGCAAAAAATAAAGTACAATCATTATATAAATAAATATCAAAATACCAGTATTATTATTAGGCTTCTGTATTTCAGTCACTAATGGCAGTGGGAATCTTTAAATCTTGAAATCGATAGGTTCCACTTCAGGGAATTGCTAAAAGAACGAAAATAAAAAAGATCTTCCTTGTAAGCCTGTAATTAATTGTTTAAAAATTATACTTCTACCTCAACCTCTTTATTGCCTGCTCCTCTGTCAACCACCTCACAAATGTTTGAGGGACATAAAGATTAATTAAAAGTGTTTGTGGTTGCTTTGGAAGATATTTATTTTTTTTGTTTTTGAGATTTTAGACGTGTAAAACTCCTGTGGTCCTTGGGGTTAGTGTAAAGTCATAGCCAGCTTTGCTAGTGCCATAGAGGAGCGGTTTGAAACTCTACCCCTACAGTGTGATGTGTTATATCATAGTAGTGAAAGGCGTCCACGACCATGTCTTTAACTCCTTCTGTGTATGTTAATGTTAACATCTAGTATTCAGGGTGTTTGCCTTCTATAATTCCTGTTAGAGTCTAGGCACACTGATGGTCTCCATGCTTTTAGAATAATGAATACAGCCTGGCTGTTTCCTCATGCCTATAATAAAAGAAATTTAATTATATCAAAACTGTGGCTTCTTGCAAATTAGGTTGATACCTGAGTTTGTTTCATTTTGTCATCAACAGCCAGTGTTTGTCTTTTTTTAAAAAAAATCTGGTGGTGTTAAGCAGTGAGTTGGAGACTAAAATTTTTCCACTTTGTTCATAATCAAACTAAAATACACATTGTTTGTAATTGTGAAAAACTAACCTTCATGCCCATCAATGGGAAAATGATTAAATCAGTTACAGTGTATCTATACAGTTGTGAAGTTAAAGGGACTAAGGTAGGTCCATATTTTCCAATTTGGAAAGAGTTCTAAGACATGTTATTAAGTGAAAATAACTTGCTGAAAAATACTTGTACTATTTATGTTTCTTTAAATAATTATACTTATAGTGTGTACATAAATGTAAATGCTTCGGGATACATTATAAAGAAGCCTAAACTATTTAATAATGCAGAGACTTGGGTGCAGGGGAAGTGCAGGGAGGAGTGAATTTACACTTTTAGTCTATACATATTTTATAGTTTTATGTGTCTAACATTTTTTAAACATGAAGAAAATATTAATGTATTACTGTGTACTTATACTAATTGATGTGGATTGCAACTTAACTATGTAAATATTACAAAGGAGTGGATATAATCTAATTGGTGCAAATATAATTCCTTTCAATAGCTGATATGCATTCAGGATGGTTACCTTTCCTTGCTGACAGAAACTGGTGAAGTTCGTGAGGATCTAAAGCTGCCAGAAGGTGAACTAGGCAAAGAAATAGAAGGAAAATACAATGCAGGTGAAGATGTACAGGTAAAGACCTATGGGAGGATTATTTTTTAAAACTATTTTATAAAAATTTGGCTCCATCTAGTTTGCATAAAATACTTACATGAAGGTAGTTTTTAAATACTGCCAAAATGTTGAAAACGATGTCTATAAAGTAGTTTTCCTATAATATACTTAAAGACCCATTACCAAAGAAAGTATCAGAGTTAAATTTTTTGCTACATAGACATTGTCCCCCTCAAATTTGTGTTGAAGATCAATATCTGAACTATTCTTATTTTTAGTATGAGAAGGAATGTTATGGAAATACGTAACATCTAGTAAGTATTGAAACATTTATAGTTCTTATTCTCCCTGTTCCCTGGAAGTTGTCTAAAAACCACAATTTGAAAAATTTCTCTTTGGGAACTATAAAGAAAGGAGATTATTTGATCTTGGGATACCTCTTTCCAAAGTTAATATGTATAAAATATCCACGAATATACAGTATATAATGAATTAACTATATCTTACATATGTCTTGCCTTCTGAAGAACTTTTGCTTGCATTTTTCCTCCTAGGTGTCTGTCATGTGTGCGATGAGTGAAGAATATGCTGTAGCCATAAAGCCCTGCAAATAAATGGGAGCATCAGGCATGACAAACTGTTTAGGTCTGGATCAGCTACAGATCTCAAGTTTGGTTCTAAGTTGTCACCAAAGCTATGGCCTTCAGAAGCAACCTCATTTATCTTTTAATTGTCTTGAAATTGTGCTGAGTTAGTTTTGCACGCAATTAGTAATTTAAAAAAATAATCACGATGTATAATTCTTTTTTTTTTTTTGTAGGTATTTTTTATAACATTCCTGTGGTTGTCAGTATGTGAGTCCAAGAAACAGACAAGGTAGCTTCCACAGATGTGATTTGAGTATATCATTCGTGAATTTTAGTTAAGTGATAAATAAACCAGGGTTTTAAATCAAACAATGTAGCATCCAGTGCTATCGAAGTACCACATTTAAGTTGAATTGTTCTGTATTAATTTCACACCTAACATATAGAGTAAGTAGATAATGGATTGGAATTGTCACAGTTTCAGCCGATGTGTGGCAAGCACAATTCTTAAACAAAAATCATGTTATCAAAAAGTGTCAGTGCAGTACCCTGTATTACCTTGGTCTTACTGTTCTTTGCCAAATTGTTGGCCGACTTAATATAACCTTATATATGGTGATTTTTATACCTGCTGTGGTTGACAGAGAGGCAGTAAACTGTTGGGTAACTATTAAAAAATCATATTGTAAAGAAGACACAGGGACAGTGGCAAAATGAGTTCGTTAAAGCTATACTTTTTTACTTGAGGCCTTTGTAATCAGAAAGCTTCTAGTTGTACTTTTGCTTTCAGCTTTTGGTCTCTCTTTCTCTCTCTCTTTTTCTCTTTCTCTCTCTATTTAAAGCAGTGACTTGCTTTGCAAGGTAGTATGCAGTGCTTTTCATTATGTTGATAAATGTTATTTTAGTAGTCATTCCTTTCCAAGCATTTGTAAGTAGACTTTTTTAACATCAAAATATTTATGTCATCTAAGAAATATATATGTATTTATGTCAGACAAAGACTGGAAATTCTAACTTCAAATTGAAACAGTTGTTAAATTTATGTACACTTTTTTCTAGAATGAAATGAATTATGGAAGAAAAGTTACTTTATGTGATAATCATTAAGAAGTACTTATATGTATTTTTTCTGATTGTCACGTGACTTAATTCAGTTACTCATGTAGCTAGGAAGAAATTCTGTAAAACTGAATTATTTTAAAAAGTGTTTTAGGTGACTGCTACATTTCTGTACCCACACACCTTATTTCCAGAATTCTAAACATTGTCATAGGGTTTGTGAGGACCTTTGACTCAGTAACAACGATGATATTGGAGTGAAACTCAGAACAAAATTACTGTTTCAGAATACCTCCATTCTCTATGACTGATTATGAGACCTCTCCCATCACGCCTTGACTTACACAAGGCCTTTATTCCTATCCCTATCATCTAGAAGAAAATATGTGGTACTGCAACTAATCTAATCAGTGGCTGGAAATAGCATTAAAAACAGAAGATCCCAAAGTTTTGTTGCTTAATTTGCTCATACTTTTAAATCTTGTTAGCCTCAGCAAACCCATTTGGAGAAGAAGCAAGATACTTTAAAGAAATGCAAAGAGAATTCTAAAGCACAAGAAATATTGAGGTTGCAATTAATCATTTTTAGTGCAGCATTTTAACTTTTGCCCATCTAAAGCACAATTAGGAATTAGACTAAATTCTTTCCAATATTCCATTTTAGTATCTACTACATACTACTCTTGTTTTTTAGTATTTTATAATGTGTATCTTATTTGCTACTGGTTGACATTATTACCCACAGGAATTCTAGAAAGTTATCCAGCTGTGCTGCTTGCTGGTCATGCATATGACCCCAGTTTACCATACTAGTGTTCTGGTTTGTATTAATTCTGGGTCAGCATGCCTTTGTTCTTCCTAACTTGTCAAACTTCACATAAATATATTTTCAATTGCAAGGTAAGTGTATGTAAATTATAATAATGCATCTCTATCTTCAGACTTGGAATGGCAAAAGCTATTTATGCACAAATAATTCATTTTAAGTACTATAAAGAAGTATAAATACTTTTCTGACATGTAAGTATAGATTTTAAAGATATGGGACTGTTTATTTTCACATAAGTCAATATGTTTCTCTAGGACAAAATATTTCATTTAGTAAAGCTTTGTAAATTGTATTAAAAAGAAGCAAGGAAACATTTTTTAACATGAAACAGAAGTGACTTCATTCTTTTTTGACATCAGAGATGTTCAAAGTTGATTCCTAGTATTTGTACTTTTTTGCAACGAATGGTAAATATCACAAGTTACCATGTGTGAAATGTAGACTGTCATGTTGATAAGGTTCTACAGTAATACACCATGTTTGTCTTCAGGCATTTCACCAGTTTATACACAACAGCAATTTTCGACCTTGTATCATCTCATGGCACACATAAACTAATTGCTAAAATTCTGCGGCACACCAAAAAATATATTTTTTGCTGACCTGGTTTTAAAAAAAAAGTATAATTTTGATTCACAACCGACAACTATTGTTGTGTTGGCTGTTGTCATTTTTTTCATTTGACAATCTAAGGGAAAAGAGGTCAGTGCCCCTGACCAAATAGTCGAGTATCGCATGTTTTAAAAATTCTTGTGACACACTGGTTGCAGATCGTTGATATACAGTATTAACAAGTGGAATATGTGTTTCTTTCTAGAACATTTTCTTTGTACTGTGAAGGCTTTGTTATACCTTATTTGCTATAAAGTTGTATACCTTCTGAAATAGATCAGATCTTTTCTACTTTGACTTAGCATTCGCAGCACAATTATGATGTTTCTTTCCTGCTCCCTTCCAAGGGCTGTCAGTCACTTGAAATTGTTGCTAACCACGCTCTTGAATCAGTTTCCACTGATGATACAAAATTCCTTACCAATGCTTTATAACAGTTACCAAAACTCTGCAGCAGCCAGAGCATGATATATCATTAATAGATGCTGCAATAAAATGTTTAGTCTATAAAATTAGGGACACAGTGTTTCATTATTATAGCACAATGTGTGTGCATGTGCACACACAGCTTTGTATGTTTGTTTTTTTAACAAAGTCTTTCCAAGTCTTAAAAGTACTGTAGTATGGTAGTGCCTCAAATGTTGGTAATTTTTTTTTTAATTTACGACTTTTTCAGAATTTGTTTTTGTACTTTTAAGGTTTCTCAATTAGATTATTTCTAGTTGAGCTGTAATTTGAATGCATTGTTCTCAGGGCTGTTTGTGCTAAGAGTTCAAGTTTCATTATTTTAAAGATAACTGCCTAAAAATATATTGCAGAATTTTCCCAAATTGCAATACATGCAAATAAAAAAATCCTTAATATCAACATACTTAAACTACATGCTAAGTATTCAAGAAAAAATGGGGACATTAGTGACAACTATACTGGAATTTTGCGATATAT